GCGTACTGCTCCATCTCCTTACGGGTCGTAGACGCCTGTATCCGAAACTGGTCCTCGAACCAAGAATACCTCACCAACCCTGGCCGGGAGAGAGGTGGCCGAGCACCAAGCAAGTAGATCTGGGCAGCGTCCCATTCGCCCATGTCGGTGTCGAAGGGAATCGGATCACCCCCTACTCCGATGCCGGTGAGCATGGAGAAGTCGAAGGGAGTCATCGTCATCTCCTCTACAGTAGAAAGGTGGAAGGAATCGGTGGTGTCCCACCACCTCTCCACCAGAGCACCAAGAAGGGGCCTACTCACAGTAAGGCACGAGAGTCCCATGCAAAAAATGCCGAAGCTGACCTGGTCGATGATATGGCGAACCGCATCGGGCAACTCCATGTACCAACCTTGGGCAATGGTGTTCCCATACCCCCGGAAGGCATAGGAATCTCCCTGTGTTCAAAGACAAACAGATGCAGAGTAGTGTTAGAAATACAGTGTTTGAATACGTTCAGAATTGATGAAAATGCAGTGTGTGTGCATGTGTTCGAGTTTACGCAAATATCATGTGTGAGTGTGCTCACGGTGAACTAAGCATGTGATGTATCAGTATGTTTGGGTTATTCAGTTAAAGAACAGAATTGGCTATTCGAGATACCTGATCTACATTGCAGAAAATAAAAGAGGGGAAGAGTCTACCTCAGCAGCGCCGTAGGAAATGTGTGACTCTGGCTCGCATAACAGGAGCTCCAATGGCGCACCTCGCGCGTAGCTCCTGAACTGACGGATGCTATCAGGAGGCAGTATGTGTATCGCCGACCGGTATGTCACCGGGTCGAACGGTCAAATCCTCTGCGGTAAGAGCTCGACCTCAGGGTCCGTATCCATCTCTAGAGGAGTCCTACCCCGTGGAATGTCGTCTGCCATCTCAAGAAGAGTGCAAAAATGGCTGAGGGTGTGGAAAATGGGCAAGAATGCCAAAAGTCAACCCCGAGGGGTGAAAAATAGGAGAAAAGGTCAGAGTGTGGGAAAAGGCATGAAGATCGAGGTAAACTCGGGGGAAACAAATCCCAAGTGGTGGAAATCGAGAATGTGGCATCGAAAACGTGTTTCATTCGGTTCAAAGTATGTAAAACAATGAGGGCTTCGTGAATCAGAAGTTGCGGGGGGCTTGAAAACGGGAGAAAAGCTCGGATCTAAGGGTGAAAAATGACCTAGAGAGAGAGAGCAATGATTTTCGACTAAGGTAAAGTGAGGAAATAGGGTTTGAGGCCCTATATTTAAAGACCCGAGGCAAAATGTCAAAACTGCCCCGAAATTGCCATTTTTGGCCGATCGGCCAAATTGTTAGCCGATCGGCTAAATTTTTGGCCAATGATCTCCTTTTGTGGCCGATGGATGGCCGATGGCCTCCTCTTGTGGTCGATACACCTCCAATGCCCTTGTTTGGGTCAGTTTTGTTGATTGGTACCCTCATTTCTCAAGACAGTGCAAGAAAATACACTTTGGAAGCTTAACCGGCCTTCGTGTTGACCTTGAACCTTGTGTCTTCTGTGTGCGGCACTCGATACGCACAAGGTGTATCCTTTTTCGTATCCTTTTGTATATTGTGAGATTCAAAAATTGCTTTGAATATGTTGTATTACAATGCTTTGTCATGTTTGTAATAAGTGTGCTTGTTATATGTCTTTTCGCTCTTGCATTGAGCATGCCTCGTCTTGCTTTGAAGTTGCATCTCAACATCGCGAATAACTTGCCTTCGCCATGCTTATGTTGAATATGTGCCTCTCTTTGTTGTCACATTGTTATGCACACACTATATGCGTTGTAGCGCACGTTTCCTCGCATTGTTATACACATTACTTGTGTTGTCGCGCATGCTTTACTTACATGTGTTTATACACCACTCAGCTTGCGTTGTCGCGCATGCCCTCCTCGCATTGTTATACACATTGCTTGCGTTGTCGCGCATGCTTTACTTACATGTGTTTATGCTTTTCCTCGCATTGTTACACATTGCTTGCGTTGTCGCGCATGGTTTACTTACATGTGTTTATGCCCTTGGCTTGCATTGTCGCGCATGCCCTTTTTGCATTGTTATACACATTGCTTGCGTTGTCGCACATGCTTTACTTACATGTGTTTATGCTTTTCCTCGCATTGTTCTACACATTGCTTGCGTTGTCGTGCATGCTTTACTTACATGTGTTTACACTTTTCCTCGCATTGTTATACACATTGTTTGCATTGTTGCGCATGCTTTACTTACATGTGTTTATGCACCACTCGGCTTGCGTTGTCGCGCATGCCCTCATCGCATTGTTATACATATTGCTTGCGTTGTTGCGCATGCTTTACTTACATGTGTTTATGCTTTTCCTTGCATTATTACACATTGCTTGCATTGTCACGCATGCTTTAATTACATGTGTTTATGCCCTTGGCTTGCGTTGTCGCGCATGCCCTCTTTGCATTGTTATACGCATTGCTTGCGTTGTCGCGCATGCTTTACTTGCATGTGTTCATGCTTTTCCTCGCATTGTTATACACATTGCTTGCATTGTCGCGCATGTTTTACTTACATGTGTTTATGCCTTCCTTGCTTTACACATTGCTTGTGTTGTCGCGCATGTTTTACTTACATGTGTTTACGCTTTTCCTCGCATTGTTATATACATTGCTTGTGTTGTCGCGCATGCTTTACTTACATGTGTTTATGCACCACTTGGCTTGCGTTGTCACGCATGCCCTCCTCGCATTGTTATACACATTGCTTGCATTGTCACGCATGCTTTACTTACATGTGTTTATGCACCCCTTGGCTTGCGTTGTCACGCATGTTTTACTCACATTGTTATGCTTGTTTCAAAATTGCATTGTTATGCATTCCCCTTACTTGCGTTGTCACACATGTTTTACTTGCATTGTCATGCTTGTTTCAGTTGCATTGTTATGCACCCCTTGCTTGCGTTGTCGTGCATGCTCTACTTGCATTGTCATGCTCATTCTAGTTGCATTGTCATGCATCTTTTCACTTGCATTGCTATGCACCTTCTCACTCGCATTGTATATGCATGTGTTTATCTCACATTGAAATAATATCTTGATCTAACGATTGAACATGCATTCCTACTATATTGTATCTGTTGAATTTCTTTCTTTTACAGGAACGATATTGTATGTACGGTTCATTCAAGAGAAGTTCCGGTTCAGTTTGACTGCTACTCTTTTCCACTCGCATTTGGCATGCGTTTGGACGTATCTCTCTCTTCTCGCGTTTGACACGCGTCTGGATGACTGCGCTTTCTTGCACAATCCTTTCCTCTCCTGCGTGTGATACGCCGAGAGATGTTGTGTTTGAGACTCCAGGTGTCCTCGGTAGCCGCTTTTAGTCTTCTCCACGTGAGATGCAGTAAGAATTGCATAATTTTCTTACATCCTTTCTGCATGAAATGTAGTTTGATTCTTATTCGCTTGCTTAAACTGTTGCGTGTTATGCTTCATTACAGCTCTCTTTGCATGATCATAAGTTATGCTCGGCATTGTGCATATCATTTGCATCTTGCCCTTGCCTGTAGGCGCATCTCTTTGCTATCTTGTATGCTTGTCTAAGTCTTCGGCCTTGTCAAAAATGGGTCGTCTCTGGGCTTTGACATTCACTCCCGTCATCTTATGACTTTCGAGTTCTGTCAAAGAGGGGCAACTGTAAACACCCCATTTTTTACCGTCCTCAAGACTTGGATGTCATCGCTTGAACAATCGATGATCATCCATGCTCGTGTTCGTTTTGAGTTCCTAGAGGTCTCGGCCGCGCGCCTTGCCTTAGGATCTCTCAACTTGTTTGTTTTGTGCTTGGTTGTGGACCGAGGACTTGTGGTTTTGCTTCTAAGGGAAGAGGGTGGCTTGTTGGCCATCCCTGCAACCCATCGGCCATAATATATATATACACACATACATACACATAAATTTTTTTTTTCATTTGTTCTGTAATGGTTACCACTGTATGTATCAATGAAGTTTGTTGGGTCAAAACAGTGGCAAGCAATCAACAAAAACTTTCTAGTGGGTTTGATTTCATTATTCAATTTTTTATTATGGTTGGTAGGTTTGATTAGCTTGATTGTGTTATGAACTTTGGTTGACGTATGGTGGGCTTTTCACTGGACTCTGTTTTGCTATGGGTGACTAATCTTGATTTGATTACGTGTGGTGATGGGTTTAATTTCTTTGTTCAATTTTTATTGAATTTCTGGTTGGTGGGTTTAATTACCTTGATTATGTTATGAATTTTGGTTGAATACAGTGGGTTTTTCACCGGTCTGGTTTTCTAATGACTCTTGAAAACTGGTGAGCTTCGTCTTCTCAAATTGACTTCGGAGCTGCGTGTGCGAAAACAATTTTTAAAAATTTGAAAACAACTTTCATGTTTGCTAAAAAGCTTGTATTTTTCAGAAAATTTCCAAAACAGTTCATAGAACAAGTATTATCCGAAAATGAAAACCCAACAAAATAATCCCAAAACATCAAAACCCACCAAAGGAAAAAAAGTGCAAGAACCAAACTGAATCAGAATCATAACTTGAAACACTTTGAGAACCAAATCCAGGAATAGAAACAATCACAAATCTGAACAAAAACCTAGATTAGAAATAGAAAAAAAGAGAAAAGATTGTGAATCTACAACTCCATGGACAGCTCCAGCCTTTTTGGTTGAATACGGTGGGTAATCCATGAGCAATTGACTTCCCATGGAAATTGTGCAAGTGTATTGGTGAGCAAGAGGAAGAAGACGAGAGTATAAAGGTTAATTTACATGTTTTGTTAATAGAAGTTAGTGTGCATTTTAGTTCACAAATCACGTGCAGGGTTATGTGATTATTTTTAAATAATAGGGAATAAACCGTGTATGACCCAAACCATAAGGGGTGAAGTGAAATTTGCTCAAAAATTTATATAATTTACAATGTCCACCAAACTTAGACTGCATAATATATGGTCTAGTGACCTTAATGTTTGTGGAAATTCAAGGAATTATACGGGCTAGGAGGACGAACATTTCTGGTACTTAATCTAGCACCGGTGGGTTGTTACCCGTCGTTTTTGGCGGGGCTACCACACAACAGCTCCGACCTTGACGCATTCGGGTGCGTAATTTCCTATAACAATGCAGTGGTGGACTACAACAACATGTTGAAGGAAGCTCTGAATCAAACCAGACAAGCAATCCCAGATGCTTCTCTGATATATGTGGATACTCATGCTGTTCTGCTGGAGCTCTTCCAGCACCCCATATCTCATGGTATGGTTCGATTCAAACCAATGCCTCAAAAAAGTCACATAACTCATATCATACCATGTGTATCTTCAATTTATGGGATTGACAACTAATGTATTCATGTACTAGTAAAATTCTGTCCTTGAATCACTTCATTATTTGGAAACAACATTAATCGTTAGATTTTCAACTATATTATATAGGGCATTTTCATAATTGTTAAATTTATTCAATTTAAATTCTTAATTATGGCATATAAGACATTTTTCAAAAACTGGTATGTTTTATTATATAAATAATAATAATTAGAATTGCTTACAAAGTTGGTACTACTTATACTTTTATAAAAGTTGCAAATGTGAGATTTTAAATTTGTGGATTGTTTATGAAAGAAAAAGATAAAATAATAAGTAAGATTAGTCTAGTTGGCCAGAACTTTTGTACTAAATTACAAGGTTAAGAATTTGATTCCCTGTTCCTTATACTACAGGCTTGAAAAAAAGAAAAGAAAAAGAAAAAACAAGAGATATAAATAAAAAATTTTCCCACCTTTCCTTTCTTTTTTATTTTCTCTCCACAAATTCTTCATGAATACACTAGGGAAAAGTGAGGAAGTTGAAACCATAGTCTTCTACCTTGAAACCCTACTATTCATCCAAAAGGGGTTCTTTCCTTGAATCCATATAGAGATAAGAGATATTATTTCTCTGTAATTTTACAATAATGTTAGAAGTATTAACTAATGTACTTGCAAACATGCCAACTATATCATATTGCAATTTATGTTTTTGTTGCCACTATTTATTTTTCATTATTTTGACACACAAATAGAACAAGTTCAAGGTTGTCACACTCACATGTTTGATGATAAAACAGGATTGAAGTATGGTCCAAGAGCATGTTGTGGATATGTGGATGGAGATTACAATTTTGACCCTAAGGTGTACTGTGGAAACACGAAGGTGATCAATGGGAGTACTCTCACAGCAATAGCTTGTAGTGATCCGTACAACTATGTGAGTTGGGATGGAATACATGCCACTGAGGCTGCAAACAAGCTTGTCACATATGCTATTCTCAATGGCTCTTACTTTGATCCTCCATTTCCTCTTCATCAGCTTTGTGATCTCAAACCTATAGACTAATGTATTTATCTTTCTGAACTTAGGATTGTAATAAATAATACAACAATGGGTTAATTTCACTTTACCCCCTCAATTTTAAAACGTACATTTAGACCTTTTTCTTCTCTCCACGAATGAAATGAGAGAGAAAGTCAGAGGAAAAAACTCCTTTTCTCTTTGCGAGATCCTAGAGTGGAGAATATACATTATTCTTTGGGTTCGTAGGATCAAATGTAAAGAGTTTTAAACTTGTCTTCATAGAATTTTAAGCAGCAAGAGACTTCAGGGCTTGTTGGAGCTGCTGAATATAACAAATCGAAGCCGAATATGGGTCAAGATAGCTTGTCTACCAAGTCAATAGGCAAAGGGCATTGCTACACTTTCACCCTCTCCAGAAAAGGGTTTCTTCGTATGGGTTTTGATAGTTGAGGATTTAAATGTACGGTTTTAAAGTTAAGGTGGTGAGTAAGGATTTAAATGTACGATTTTAAAAATAATCAATCTCCTGTGAGTGTTGTAATATGTTTATTTAGTAATGAAACAAGTTTATTACTTGCGTTCAACACGTTCTTATTCCTTACATGGGTAGTACGTACATGGAAATCATTTGACAATGTTGTGAGTAGGTGCACATGGTGTAGTTTGAGCAGTTTGAAAGTGAAATTATAAATCAAATTGTGCATAATAGATTGGCGAATAACCAAATTGTGATTTGGGTGGTTTTAGTTTGCTAGTTGATTGAAAAATATTTTTAAATAATTATCAAGTATTTTCATAATAGATAATACTAATTTGTATAATATTTTTCATATAATACAAACTAATTTTACATAATATTTTTTTTTTATATATAACTACTAATTTGTAATAAATTTCACATTTAAAATCTCCCTTACACTCATTGTTACTTTAATATTTCATTAGAGATTCTAAAAATTTATATGTATTAATTATAGTAGAATGGAGCAGTTTCGAAAGCAAATTATAAAGTTCAAAATTTAATTTGTGATTAGTGGATTGAGCGGTACGGATCATTGCGGATTGGATGATTTTAGCGGATTGTTTAGTATTTTACACAATTCTAGTTGTGAGTTTTAAGCTATGCCAAATTATGCTAATTTAATTTGACATTTTAAATTGCGTTTGAATCTTGGATTAGGAGAATGAAAAGAAAAGAGAGAGAAAAAAGAAGTTAAACTTTTTCTCCTTTTTTTCTTAATTTCTTCTTCATAAATTTCTTCACAAGCTGCCATTAATAGAGATGAGTTTGTGTGTGCACTCGTGGGTGTGGGACTTGCGGATGTTGTTGTGTTGTGCCCCTTGTGGGGGCTTATTCTTAATTTATGTCAATAATTTAAACCGTTCACGTTATAAGATTAATGAAATAAATTATTTATAATAAGAAAAAAAGAGTTAATCAGACATTCATAGTCACGTAATGAGATCATATTTATTTTTTAAAAAATAAATGGCAAGCATTATTTTGATAATACACTATTTATTTTTTAAAAAACGATTAGGACGTAATTGCGTGACTCTGAATATTTGATTAACTTAATTTTTTTAATAAATAATCTATACAATAAATCTTACAATATAAACATTTAAAATTATTAAAATAAACCGAGGATAATAAGCCCACATGAAAGCTCACAGCAACATCTCCAGAGTCAGTTGAGTGTATGAAGTGAGAGCCTGTATTTTTAAGATAGGAAATGAACCAATGAGGAAGCTCAGTTCCTCCACGCGTGACCTAGCAGAATCAGTGGCTAAAATGTATTATGGGCAGAAAGGATGTTAAAAAGAAATAGTAATTCATATTAACATAAATTTAATTCAATATAAGACTTTCATTTGAAATTTACCATTTCTCCAACAAAAAAACAAAACAAAACAAAACAAAACTGAGTTAAGATCAAATAACATAGTCATTCTAAATGAGATTATTATATGAAAATTACCACTTTTCACAACCAAAAAAAATATAAAAACTTAAAAAAATACATTGTAATTACCTTCTTTTTCAAAATAAAAAAATGAAAAATGAAAAATTACATGGAATAAATTTATATTTTAATATAATGTCATCCACAAGCAAAATAAATATAATTTATATATTTTATTTTTAAGAATATGTATTTTTGATTGCATAATATTACTAAAAAAAACTCCCAACTCAGATCAAAATAATAGAGAGCACAACATAACAGAGAGAGTAGATAGAGAAAGAGAGGTAGATATACAAGCAGAGAGACACAGACAAAAGCCTTGGAAGCCTTGGGAATTGCTTTGGGCAGCCAATTTACATGGCATCCACTTCCATGGCGGCCACCGCCACCTTAATGCCCTGTCGGCTACCCTCCACCACCACTGCCAACTACCCACCTCGCTGCTCATCGCTGCCTTCCCTTCCACCTCTCCTCTTGTCCACCCCAACCTTTTCCACTTCCTTGAAACAGCTCTCTCAGGTATGCTTCCTCTCTGTGAGGCATTTCGTCGAACCCACACATAGTTGAAGTTCCTCTTAGCACGGTTTACTGCTCTTCTCTTCATTTCAGTTTCACATTTTCAACTTTCTTTTACTTGGGTTTTATGTAGTTTCTAAATTGCATTTGGAAAAATGTAAACTTGCATAAGAAAAACAAACTTATGTTGTGCGTGGTTATTTTGGGAAATTGATAAAGCAGAACCCGGGAGGTTTTCTATTCTTCAAGTCAAGGCCACTTCCTTAGAAGAGTCATCTCCTCTTGTTGATGCCGGAAAATTATTCAGTGATCTAAAGGAAAAGGTGAGGAGCAAATCGGGCACCATACCAAAGAAGAGGAAGCTTGAAACTATTTCTCAGTTTGTCTTTCCATTGCTTTCTGTTACAACTTCTTTTGATTTGAGTCTATATTGATGGTTCACATGAAATCTTTTTTTTTTCTTTTTCTTTTTTTCCATTTATTTTTTTGATTCTTTTGCTGCTATGTTCAATAACGGGATGCAGTGGAAGACAAATCTACAGTAATTCTGTATGGAGGAGGGGCAATAGTTGCAGTTTGGCTATCTTCCATTTTTATTGGAGCCATCAACTCAGTGCCTCTTGTAGGTGTTTGTCATTTATAAGTCATGGATTTTTCGATACAGTTTTTAAATTACTTGATATGATCACTTCCCCATGCTAGTGCAGTAGGGAGGTACTAAACTGCAAGTAACTTGATCCCCGGCGTTTTTGTTTTTGTCAGCTTCCAAAGCTCATGGAGTTGGTACGGCTTGGATATACTGGATGGTTTGTCTACCGGTACCTTCTCTTCAAGGTGAGCTTGACATGGTTTTCTATCCTTGTTTAAATTGAACTTATTTTCTTTTATGAATATAGTTTGCTATGTTGTAAAATCTTATCTTTTCGGCGTAGCTCATAACCTAAGTAATGGAATTAAACCCTCGAACTAATTTGAATCAATGCATCCACAAATCTCCTTTACCAGATTTGACGCCTAATTTGGTATTGTTGTGTTTTATTTATCCACAAAAAAAAAAAAAAAAAAAACAGGATCTCTAGCTGACTTTGATTTGGGTTTCTGTATAAGTTAGATATGCAAATTATAGGGCATGCCTTCTTAACAAATTGAGAGTAGGTTTTTACAGGCTTCTAACATTGTTGGCAATTAGGATTCTACAGTAGTTTGCTGATTTCAAAAGCAAGCAAATAAGTTGGACCGGGACCTTCTATCCTTGGTATGCAACCATCGACTCTATTCTGACTGTTAGCCTGGATGGTCAAGTGGTAACCATTGGCTTATGAGGATTGTTGCTTGAGATGTCAGAATTGTCAGAGAACTTTTCATGCTGCTGTGCCGGTCTAGTGTTTGTGACTGCAAATTCGGAGGGTGGGAAAAGGGTGGGGTTCCCCAATTCAATGCCTATATCCGACTACTTGGGCAGCAGGAGCTCCATTTTGGAATGGTGGTGCTGATGATTTTGAGGATATTTCTGAAGCAAATGTCACTCCGGCCTCTATGAGGTGGGGTAGGCAGAATACAGCAGTGGGATCTGAGGTAGACAATTCCTATGGTGCTGCATTATGATGAGAAGTGACCCAAACCCAGTTTGTGGCTAAAGCTGCTCAAGTTGGCTAGTTTATAGTTATTGTAGCAGTTGTAGTTCTTCTTGTAGAATTTAGATGTTTTCTTTGGGTCTTATTTTGTTTAAAATGTCTGTCCCATAGATATAATATGTAACTTATGATATGCTAGAATGTGATAGTGGTTATTGAATCAAGCTGTATTTTTGTTGAATCACTGACATTATGTTTCTGCAACATGATGTGTTATTTCGATGGAAATGGAGAACCCTAGTTAAAACTTTCAACCTCATCATTTTCCATGGTGTAGTGTACTGATTTTTACAGATAATATTGTCAATTGAAAGTCAGTTAAGTCAGTTTTTACGCTCTTGTTATTACGACTGAGTTGATTAATTTGACTTGGAAGACACAGGGGTATAAGTTATAAGTTATCCTTGTGCTTTGACGATGGTCTATGTGTAGTTATGATTTGCGGTCATTTCATCTCAGTAGGGTGATAAATGAGCCAAATGAGCTGAGTAATTAACTGTTGAAGCTTGGTTTGAAAACTTTAATGATTTTCAAAATTTGTTCAGGCTTAGTTTGTTAAATTTTCGAGCTGATCTCAAACCAGCATTTGTCGAGCCTAGCTTGAGTGGTTTGGTATTTTAATATAGTTTTAGGCATACTGAACAGAGCTGAATGAACAATTGATTGTTTAGGCTTGGTTTGAAAACTTTGACAAGCTTCGAAATGTGTTTAAGATTGACTTGTTTACTTAATGGACTGAGCTCTATCGAGTTCTTAACGAGCCAAACTTAAGTCGAACTCGAGCTGTTTGGTTCATTAATCACCCCTACATCTAGCTTTACTAAATTTTATTGATGTTCTCTCTTTCAATTGTATTCTCTGTGGAACTTATTGATTTATGAAGAGTTCAAGTTGTGATCAGGTAGTTACCAGCATTAGTTTTCTGTTGTGCCACGAATATCACAGAAGTATCACCATCATCATCATCGCAACTGCAATATTTCATCATCTCAATTTATGTATTATTCTTGTTGTAAAATGTCGATCTCTATGGATTTTATTAGATAGGTGAGTGAGTTGCATAAAGATTGCTTTGGTGTTTCTTCGTGTTGGATAGGAAATTACAGCACCAGGTTTATCTTAATAGGTTTTACTTTCTTATCCTTAAATTCTGTTATCTAATTGATCTTAAATGCAGTTGTTTCCCTTGTTTGTTGAGCATGCTATTGTCTTGATATGTTTGCATGTCCCTAATGTAGCCTAAAATTTGTATGTTATGAACACATCCAGCTTGCTCAGAGGCTTCCGTTGCTGATAAACCTTTTCTTGTTGTCTTTACAATAAACTTTCATCAATTGAATGATTCTTTTGTGCTGAAAAAGCTCTTTCTCGGTATGCCTGGTCTTCACGAGATTAGCAATCACTTCGGATTGACAAAATTTTATCAATTTTATAATTTAGCCAAAATTAGTCTGAGCATCTCTTTTTTTCCGGACTTTGTATATCACTCCCTTTCTGGTAGACTATTAGTTTGGACTTTAATTTTTTAGCTAAATGTAAGGCCATGTTAAATTTTTTTCCCGGACTATATCTGTTCACATATATTTAGTTTCATTTTCATCAGTAATTTATTAGTCATTGTTTGTTATTGTGTTTTCATATTATCTACATTAGTTTTGTCTATTTAACCCTATTAAAAATAAAATCAGTATAATTATGTCAAAGCTGCAAAACTTGGTGTATTTTCTTTAAATCTCAATGAAATCACTAATATACCCTTAATATTTTGATAACTTTATTTTGTAAGTTATATATATATATATATTTCATTTTAAAATGATTAAAAGGTAGATAAATTGTTGCCAAATGTTGAAAAATTTATTTGTGATTTGTGTCCATCAATTAGGAGCGGATCAGCATTTACCGATTCACCAAAATTGAATGGTCTGAACTAATCTGCTACATAATAGATAGTTTTAGTGGATGTATTTTTTTTAATCTACCTAAATTTTGATGAACGGCGGATAGGAAATCACCCGATCTAACCCGATTCGTCAAGAATCCTAAGAAATAAGTTTATATATATATATATATATATATACTTTTGTGTGTTAAAGAAGGGACATTTTATATAGTAATTCTATTTGTTATTTATGAAATTTGAAAGTTAGGCCTTTATTTTTATTTTAAAAAATTAACAATAAAATATTTTGAGTTCAAAATAGTAAAGAAATATTGAAAAATAGTTTTAAAAAAAATAATTTGCATCCATCTGCCAACCTTTGCACGACTCACTCAATATACATCCGCTAATTAAGCGAACAGATGTATATTAATTTTCCTCAATCCACCTAAGTTTGAACAGATGTGGATAAGAGGCCACCCAATTCACTAGCACCCCTACTTTTACCAAAGATGAACAAATGTTCTGAATTGGATTTTATTTACAAATTTAGAGTTTAAATTACCAAAAAGTCAATCTTTCTCTCTATTTTTGTGCACGTCTTCTGTAAAAAAAAATTAAAAAGCTAATTAAAAAAATTAGTTCCCAATTTGTTATAAAACACTGGTTTTGTTTGGTTGATTTTGGGTAGTTTTTTTTTTCCTTGTGAAATCAGAAACTAGTTTAATATAAATAAACACACAAGAAAAATAAAATTCATATGAAAATATAAAAAATAATGAGTGCTTTTAAATTTTTCCATCAAACTACTATTTAAAAAAATTTAGAAAATAAATTCTCAAAATTTCACCAAAGGAAACCTTGTAATGATTCTAGTTTTGCTACTTCGCTGAGTATGTCGGGGATCGAGTTGTCCGGTCAGCTCGCGGGGGTCCAAGGGCAGCACTCTGGCGGGGATCGAGCTGCCCAGTCAGCTCGCAGGGGTCTAGGGGCCCCTTGGCGGGTCCTAGGGCAGCGCCTTGGCGGAGTTGAGAGGCAACGCCCCCGAAGCAAAAATGCAAAATGAATTAGAAGTTGTTTGTCCGCTCGAGCGGCAGTTTATGTGCTCGAGCGGAGAATGTTTGGTTCTAGAAGTTTGACACGCTCGAGCGGACCATGTATTATATCAGTTGATAGTTGGGCTTCCTAGAACACAACGAGGCAATGATGCCGTTTGGGTGATTGTTGATAGGTTGACTAAGTCTACTCATTTAATTCCGATGTGCACCAGCGACTCAGTTGAACGCTTGGCAAAGTTGTACATTAGAGAGACAGTTCGACTTCATGGAGTCCTTGTGACTATTGTGTCGGATTGGGATCCTCGTTTTACTGCCCGGTTATGACAAAGCCTTCCAGAGGCGTTGGGAACTAAGTTGACTCTTAGCACCGTTTATCATCCTTAAACTGATGGACAGTCGGAATGTATCATTCAGATTTTGGAGGACATGCTTAGAGCTTGTGTCCTTGATTTTAAGGGTCCTTCGGAATGGCACTTACCATTGATTGAGTTTGCTTACAATAATAGTTACTAAGCTAGTATTGGGATGGCACCATTTGAGGCATTGTCTGGCCGACCTTGTAGATCACCGGTTTGTTGGGTCGAAGTGGGTGATGCACTGTTACTGGGTCCAAAAATTGTTAGAGAGACAACCGAGAAAGTTGTTCTCATTCAGAAGAGGTTAGCTACGGCCCAAAGCTGACAAAAGAGTTATGCCGATAAGAGGAGATGGCCTTTATCTTTTGAAGTTTGTGACCATGTGTTTCTAAAAATCTCACCAAGGCGGGGTTTGATGAGATTTGGTAAAAGTGGTAAATTCTCTCCAAGGTTCATTGGGCCTTTTGAGATCTTAGAGCGAATTGGGGAAGTGACATACCGCTTAGCTTTATCGCCATAACTTTTGGGAGTTCACAATGTATTTCATGTAACTATGCTTAGTAAGTATGAACCCGACCCTTCTCATGTGCTTGATTGGGCTGACTTGGAGATAGATGAGGATGCCTCTTATGAAGAACAACCGGTTCAAATATTAGATACCCGGGAGCAGGTGCTACGAGGTAAAACTATACCGTTGGTAAAGGTGTTGTGGAGACACCATGGGGTTGAAGAAGTGACGTGGGAACGGAAGACGGAAGTCCGCTCCAATATCCGGATTTATTTAAAAATACTTAAGTTGTTTTTCTTTGTAATATTCCCTAGAATTGAGGGAAACGTATTTAAAGTTGTTAAACACAAGTTGATATGTGCGTTGTTGTCTTAAGCATAAGGTTATTTAGAGTTGCCATTACTTTTTGGGAAATTTCATGTTTATACGTATTTGGGAGGTTATTGTTAATGAGATAACCATGGTGGAAATGGTGGAATTTGGTTGAGAGTTAGTATTGTGATTTGAAAATGAAATAGCGTGGTTTTGATCGCTAGAAACCCTTTGTTTGGGTAGTTTGATTTGAAATTTCAAGAACGAAATTCTTTAAGGGGGGAAGGTTGTAGCGATCCCAGTTTTGCCACTTCCCT